TCCTTCCAGAACCTTAGGTTTCGTAGCGATTTCAACATAAAAACATCAAAAAGCCAATGGTTTTTCAAAAAAAAAATGTCCAAATTTCATCCCGCGCGCGCTGTCCGACTCCCACAAAACCAATGGTTTTTCAACATTTATGTTACATAAGCTCGCGCGAGCTACTTTTTCTTGTACTTACATAATCAAATTTCAACATCCCTTGCAAAAAAAAAGTAAAGTGGACATTCGCGCGCGCAAGACCAACAAAAAACACGACGATCTCAGGAACTTGCCCAAAAATGTGACCAACTCCGCTCTCTCTGTCTCTCTCTCTGTCTGCTCTCTGTCTCTCTCTCTGTCTGTCTGTGTCATGTATTGTATGTCACAATTGCAGGATGCTGGGCACACGCGCGCCCCGAATAAGTGACCAAGTCTCTGTGGTGTGTGGGTGTGTACCACGCCAGTGTAGTAGCCACGGTCGTCCGCACGCCCACGAAGTGAAGTTTCCAAACGTCATAGGGCGGGAAGCTGGTTTGGGTGGTCGCGAGAGTCGTTTGGATATTGGTAGAGCTTGAACCGGCCCCCCCACAAAGTGGGGGTATTGGCTGGCGTCGCATGAAAACCCTGGCACTGGTGAGAACACTGAGCGTTCGGGTAAAATGATTGTTGTTGTTGTTGTTGTTGTTGTTGTTGTTGTTGTTGTTGTTGTTGTTGTTTGTTGTCGTCGTCGTCCCACCCGCGACTGACCCGCGACGCACCCCGCGAACCACCCCGCGACCCACCCCGCGACCCTTCCTGCGGCCCACCCGCGACCCAACCCGCGACACACTTCGCGACCCACCCTGCGACCCACCCGCGACCCACCCGCGACCCCACCGCGACCCACCCCGAGACCCACCTGCGACCCACCCCGCGATCCATCCGCGGCCCGTCCGCGACCCACCTGCGACCCACCCGCGACCCACCCCGCGGCCCACCCTCAAGGGAGGAAAAACCACCTGGACCCGATCATTGACGTTTACTACACGGCCCTGGGCGTTTACTAAACAGCCCTGCCCTGCTCGATTCATTCCTGGTCCGCGTTTACTAAACGGCTTCACGTGTCGGAATTGTCATTCTGGGGTGGGATTTCTGCCCTCTACACCCGCGACCCACCCGCGACCGACACACATTGGTTTAACGAAAGAATCGGCGCATGCGGCGGCCTACATGTATAATTTCTGAAACTTTGGCGCCTGCGGCGGGCTTCTCCAGAGTCTCGCAAATTGCCCACGTCCCCACCGCCGCCTCACTCTTATCCGCACCTGCGGGGTGTATTCATGCATGTCTGTCAGAGTGAGGGGGGCGAACGGTCATTCATTCATTGTTCCTGGGTGCGTGGCTGAAGTGTGGATTCGCGGTGAAGATTATGCTTATTGTTGTTGTTGTTGTCGTCGTCCCCCCCGCGATCCTCTCTGCGGCCCACCCGCGACCCACCTCGCGACACACCCGCGACCCACCCCGCGACCCGACCGCGACCCACCCGCGACCCACCCCGCGACACGCTCGCGACCCACCCGCGACCCACCCGCGACACACCTGTGACCCACCCTCGACCCACCCGCGACCGGGCCCGCGACCCACCCGCGACCCACCGTCGACCCACCCGTGACCCACCTGCGACCCAACCCTCGACCCACCTAAATTGTTTTAGCAAAAAATCGGCGCCTGCGGCGGGCTCGCTGTGCAGCTTGAAAAAATGCGCCTGCGGCTGGCTTTTTCAAGGCCTCGCAGACTGTCGACGTCCCCGCCGCCCCCCATCACTATTATCCGCAACTGCAATGTATGTATGTATGTGTATGTATGTATGTGCGTATGTATGCCTGTCTGTCTGTCTGTATGTCTGTATGTATGTATGTGTGTATGTATGTACGTATGTACGTATGTACGTATGTACGTATGTACGTATGTACGTATGTACGTTTGTACGTGTGTACGTGTGTACGTATGTATGGATGTGTGCATGTTATATATATATATATACACGCATGTTATGTATTATTAGTAGTCGCATTCATGATATTGGCATTCGTATTAGTATTGGTATTAGTAATATATGTGTTTATACATGTGTATATATATAGCCCTGTGCACCCACCACGAACCCCCTTTCTCATGATTACATATGATTTTATATATGATTTCTATGATTTTCGGACTCACTTTTGAGGCTCTTTTTTGGAAGACCTTTTGGGCTCCCTTCTCCGTCTCCAACACAACACCCATTACTCAACAGCCTCCTTCTCCAACACAACACCCGATACTCAACAGGCTCTCTCCCCAAGCTGAACTTGAAAAGAACCTTCTACTCAACTCCCTCCGTCTCCAACACAACGCCCAGTACTCAACAGCCTCCTTCTCCAACACCCGATACTCAACAGGCTCCCTCCCCAAGCTGAACTTGAAAAGAACCTTCTACTCAACTCCCTCCGTCTCCAACACAACACCCAGTACTCAACAGCCTCCTTCTCCAACACAACATCCGATACTCAACAGGCTCCCTCCCCAAGCTGAACTTGAAAAGAACCTTCTACTCAACCCCCTCCGTCTCCAACACAACACCCAGTACTCAACAGCCTCCTTCTCCAACACAACACCCGATACTCAACAGGCTTCCTCCCCAAGCTGCACCAAGAACCCCCCTTTCTCATGATTATATATGAATTTATATATGATTTCTACGATTTTCGGACTCACTTTTGAGGCTCTTTTTTGGAAGACTTGTTGATCTCCCTTCTACTCAACTCCCTCCGTCTCCAACACAACACCCAGTACTCAACAGCAGCCTCCTTCTCCAACACAACATCCGATACTCAACAGGCTCCCTCCCCAAGCTGAACTTGAAAAGAACCTTCTACTCAACTCCCTCCGTTTCCAACACAACACCCAGTACTCAACAGCCTCCTTCTCCAACGCGACACCCGTTACTCAACAGGCTCCCTCCCCAAGCTGAATTTGAAAATAACCTTCTACTCATTTCCCTCCGTCTCCAACACAACACCCAGTACTCAACAGCCTCCTTCTCCAACACAACACCCGGTACTCAACAGGCTCCGTCCGTCTCCAACACACACACATGTACTCCAGATCCTACCACCACAACACGACGCGACACCCGAAACTCCAACCGCCCCCGCCCCCCTTTTTTCTTGGCATCTTCCAAGAGAAAAGGGGGGTTCATGGTGGGTGCACCGGCCTATGTATGTATGTATGTATGTATGTATGTATGTACGTACGTATGTTATGTATGTATGTTTGTATGTATGTATGTATGTATGTATGTATGTATGTAGGCATGCATGTATGTATGTATGAATGAATGTATGTATGTATGTGTGTGTGGATGGATGTATGGATGCATGCATGTATGTGTGTAGGTATGCGTGTATGTTTGTATGAATGTATGCATGCAATCATGTCTGTCTGTATGTACGTGTATACGTGCGTACATATGTACGTATGCATGAATGTATGAATGAATGAATGACTGTATGTGTATGTATGTATGCATGTGTGTATGTACGTATGTATGTAGGTATGTGTGTATGTATGTATGTACGTAAGTGGGTATGTATGTATGTATTATGTATGTCTGTATGCACGTATGCATGCATCTATGTATGTATGCATGTATCCATGTATGTGGTTTTGTGTGTTCGCATGTATGCATACATGTATGTATGTGTGTATGTATGTATGTCTGTCTGTCTGTATGTCTGTCTGTCTGTATGTATGTATGTATGTATGTATGTATGTATGTATGTATGTATGTATGTATGTATATGTGCATTTATTTACGTCTGTCTGCATGCCGGTCTGCTTGTCTGCCCGTCTTTATGTATGTAGGTAGGTAGGTAGGTAGGTAGGTAGGTAGGTAGGCAGGCGCTGTTGTGTTTGTGTGTTTGTGCGTATGCATCTGTGAACATATCATATATTGATTAACCGGCGTGTGCAACTATATGCATATGTATTGGTGCAAATAACGGCATCGGCTTTCTGGGATCCAGAACTAGCTCCCCCAAACCTCCACGGGTGGACTGAGGCCTTGGGGACCCTCCTGGATGGCCCCCAGAAGGCCCCAGAGGGTCCCAAGATGGCCCTGGAGCCCGCCCTGACGGCCCCAGATGGCTTCCAGACCGCCCGAGGAAGTTCAAGATGGTTCCAAGACGGCTACAAGAGGCTCCCAAGATGTTCCCAAGGGGCCCACTGGAGGCTCAAATCCTTCAAAACCATTTGGAACATGATTCTTTTCAAATATCGCCTCATCGCTTGCGAGGAGCCTCTGAGGCCTCTGGATGGTCCAACAGCAGCCGTCCAGGGTCCCAGGAACGCCCAAGACGGTCGACTGGAGCCCCCAAGACACTTTCAAGATGGCTCCAAGATGGCCGAAGATGGCTAAGAGACGGCCCTCGTGATAGTTAAGATGGCTTTAGATGGCCTCAAGACAGCCCCAGACAGCTTAAGATGGCCACAGCACGGGCACAACAGGTCACCAAGAGGTTCCCAAGAAGCTTCAAAAGGCAGTTCGGATACGGACATCTGGGAAAAAACAAACGCGCATGAGGTTTCCCTGGAATCTCCTTTCGCTTCCGAGGGGCGTCTCAGGCCTCAGGTTGGTCAAAACATTGCCCACGAGGAGCCCCATGGCCCCGAGACCCTTCAAGATGTTTCCAGGACGCCGAAGCTGACTTCGAGACGGCCCTCGAGCCCGCCAAGACGGCCCCAGGCAGCCTACAGACGGTCCCAGGCAGCTCAAGATGGCACCAAAATTTCCAAGAGGTGCCCAGGAGGCCAAGGTCATTCACAAACTGGAGGTAAACCATCAGTTCTGCGCTGAGGCCTCAGGATGGCCCAAGAAGGGCCCAGAGGAGCCCCAGAGATGCCCAAGACGATCGACTGGGTCCCCCAAAACCCTTGAAGATGACTTTCCGAGACGGCCGAAGATGATTTTGAGACGGTCTTCGAGACCGCCAAAACGCCCCCGGGTGGCCTTAAGACCGCCCCTGAGCTACTGATGGCTCCAAGAAGGCCGAACCACACAAGAGGTCCTCCGTAGCTGTTTGGCTCAAGCCATTTTGCCTCAAGCTTTCCGCAGTCGGGTGCCCCGACAGCGCCCAGGATCGCAACGCGGGCTTGCCGCGATCCCTGGATCATGGCGCGCTCCTGGCTCCTCCTCTCCACGTGGGCCGTGTCGATCGCGGAGGCGACTGCCTCCGCGGGCCGCGGCCCCTCCGGCGGGGCCGCGCGCTCGGAGGCGGACGTGGGCCACGAGCAGGAGTGCGAGCACGCGTCCATCGGCTTCGAGGCCCTGCAGACGGCCTCTGCGCTGTCGAGGCCCAGCCCCATCCTCGAGCGGGACGCGGGAGGGGCAGAGAGCAGCCAGCGGAGCGGCGTTCAGGGCAACCCGTACGTCCCGGGTCCCAACATCTATCTCGCAGACCTCGTGGACCTCGACAGCTACTGGGGCTACTGCCTCGACATCGCTGGGTCCCCGCCACACCCGCAGTGCGACAGCATCCAGGGGCACACCTGCAAGTCGGACGGTGCGGACACCCAGTTCTGGTACGACCCCGACACGGAGTCGATCGTGTCGCATAATTTCAACGATATATGCAACCCCATGTATGACGGGGAGCAGGACGGAAGGACATGGCAGGCGGACCTGAACAACACCCGCGGCGGTTGCCTCAGGGTCGCTGGGTCCCTCGACGCTGGGACTGGGCTTGTCATGGTGGAGTGCCGGGCGCCCGACTCTCTGCAGAAGTTGAGATACACCCCGAGCAGGCAGTTCGCCGTGGTGAACACCAGTTTCTGCCTCGTCCTCGGGCAGGCGAGACGGGATCCCTGGCCCCTCTGAGAGTTCCGCAGGTGATGGTTCCACGTCTGAACAACTTGCCCTGGTTTTTCAACTCCAACATGTAATTCATTAGTCTAAATGACTGACTCATGAGTGGCTACCACGTATACAAACTTTCTCCGAATGCAGCGATCATGACGGGGTTGTCGGTTGGTAGTCCGGCGCGTTTTTGCGACGGGCCCGCTTGCATCAGAGTTTTCGCGAAAGTACCCGTCATTCTTGACGGCATTTTGCGTCCCTTTCGTCTCGCAGGGTGTTTGGGCTGGGTGGTACCGCATCCCAGGGCTGTGACAGTCCCCTGCGCCTCTTTTCTCTCGCAGAGGCGCGGCGGGACCGCGGCCACGGAGTTGCGACGGCATCTTGTCCAATGATTTCGCACTCCTGTACCCGTAGGATTTGTATGTATATTTATATATCTAGTTGAATTTGTTTGGGTGGGACCGCAGCCATGGGCTGTGACGGCATCATGCGTCTCTTTCGTCCCGCAGTGTGCTTGGGTTGGGTGGCACCGCAGACCTCGGCTGTGACAGTTCCTTACGTCTCTTTCCTCTCGCAGAGTGTTTGGGCGCGGTGGGGCCGTGGCCATGGAGTTGCGACGGCATCCTGTCCATTTAATTATTCAGCGTAGAAAAAAGAGGACCGCAAGAGGTCCCCAAATCCTCCACGCTCAACGGCCCGTCGGGGGCCCCCCACCAAGCACCCGGCCTGATGTGCCCGGTCGGCCCCGACGGCCCGTCCGAGCCCCGCACACGCAGTAGGGTTGATGAACCCGGAGGCCTCTTCCAGAACATTTGGTCGACGGCACGGCGACGACGTCAATACGGATACTTCATGGGGACGATCGTGATGTGCATGTATGTGGTGATAATGACGTGTACGATGATGACGGTGATGGCTTTCATGATGATGATGATGGTGTGATACTGATGATGATGATGATGATGATGATGATGATGATGGTGATGGTGATGGTGATGGTGATGTGATGGTGATGGTGATGGTGATCGTGATGGTGATGGTGCTGATGATAATGCGGATGAGGATGAGAATGAGGATGAGGACGACGATGATGATGATGATGATGATGATGATGGTGGTGGTGATGATGCCGATTACGATGACGATGACGATGACGATGACGATGAAGATGAATATGATGATGATGATGATGATGATGATGATGTTGATGATGATGCAGATGCTGATGCTGGTGCTGATGCTGATGCTGGTGGTGATGGTGGATGCTGATGCTGATGCTGATGCTGATGCTGGTGGTGATTGTGATGGTGGTGATGATGATGATGATGAGGATGATGAGGATTTTGATGATAGTGTTGGTAGTGATGCTGAGGACTATGCTGATGCTGATACCGATGGTAGTAATGATGTTGATGATGTTGATGCTGATGGTGACGATGTTGACGATACTGAGTTTGGTAATGATGATGACGAGGAGGAAGAGGAGGAGGAGGAGGAGGAGGGAGAGGATAATGTTTGTGAGTCGTATGACGATGATGCCACAGCCCCAGAGAGTTGGAAATGGCTCCCATACGGCCCCAGGAGGCTCTCGGGAGGCTTCCAGGAGAGTTCCAGGACGGACCAAGTTCATGATGATGCCGATGTTGCTAAAGATGATGATGATGATGATGATGATGATGATGATGATGATGATGATGATGATGATGATGATGATGGTGATGATGAGGACACTGATATGCATGTCTGGGCTTACACTGGTAATACTGATGATGGAGCGACCCATGGTGTTCATTGCGAGGTTGATATTGATGTCGAGGATGACGCCGATGATGAAAGCGGTGATGGTGACGTTTCTGAGGATGCAGATGCTGTTGAGAATGATCACGGTAACGATGATGGTGACGATAAATATCATGACAATGATGATGTTTCTGACTCCTCCTCCTCCTCCTCAATCCGGCGGCCGCCTTTGCGGCTGCTTGAGAGCCCCAAACTTGCCCGAGAGAGCCCCAAGATGAGCCCCAGAAGCTGCCAAGACAGTCCCAAGAGCCGTCAAGAGCCTCCTGGAACGACCCAAGCGATCTCGATGAGCCCAGCTTGACGGCTTCCGAAGGCGTTAGACGGATCAAAAGCGCCCTAAGACAACCTGCGAAGCCTACTCGAGGCCCCATGCCAGCTGCAAAAGGCCCCCACGATGCCTCCAAGACGCCACCAGAAAGCTTTCGAGAGTCCAACACGACGTCTTAATCATTAAGTAACCGCTGGGGAACTAAAAGGTTCTGCTGAACTCGCCTTTTTGCTCTCGATGGGCGGGCCTTTCAGGCTCACAGATGCTCTCCAGACAGCCTAGGGGCCTCCCGAAACGACAGAAGAGGTCCCCGAGGTAATCCTCAAAAAAAAGTTCAGGAGCCCGCACCCCCCCCCCCCGCACCTCCCCCAAACGCCTTCAAGAGGCTCCCTGGGGAGCGCAGTCAGCCACATCTTCCAGGAGGCCTCTCCGGGAAAATCGGCCGACGACGATGACGATGTGGATGTTCATTCTGGTGATGATGACGGTGATGACGCGTAAGATGATGATTGTGACGTTGCACCTTGATGACGCGAGTGATGTTGTGTTGATGATGACGGTGATTGGAGTGAGAATGAAGATGCTGATTCGGATCTGGGTGAGGATGATATTGATGATATTGATGATTCGGACGAGGATGGTGATGATGATGATGATGATGATGATGATGATGATGATGATGCTGTTGCTGTTGCTG